GGCCATCTACTGCAACAAAACATGTTAATATTATATTTTTTTACATAAGAAGTGTTATGGATTACTTTTACAAAAAATACATTTCTACCACCTTTAGTGACCTACAATTATGAAAGGACCATAGCTTGAACTAATATCCATCTGAGTTTTAGTATTTAGTGTAACTAAAGTTGGTAATTTTTTTTATTTAACGAAATATGATGGATATACCTACATACGAATTTCTTTGAAATTGCATTATGTTACTTGTAAAAATACATTTATACCATTTTTAGTGACTTAAAATTACCAAAAGGCTATATATTGAAATACTACCCATCTGAATTTTAGCATTTGGTGTAACTTAAAGTTGGTATTTTTTTTATTAAACGAAATATGGTAGATATGAATTTTTTGGAAATTGCGTCATGTTACTTGTAAAAAATATATTTCTACCACCTTTACTTAACTAAAATTACCAAAGGGCGATAGACTGAGCTAGAACTCATCTGAGTTGGTATTTTTTTTTATTTAACGAAATACGGTGGATATACCTATATAATTTTTTTAGAATTTATTTCATGTTTAACTAATATCTTCATTGACAAATCTCTGATGATATCGACTAAAATAATAAAATAATAACGAAATACATTTAATTAATATAGGTTTAATTAATAATAAAAACACAATTATTATAAATGTTTGTGGGCTGGATTCAATTGGTGGTTTGAATACGGGTACTTTCTGTTTTATTTTGCATTGTGCTCTGATCATGATTAAACTTGATAGTAGTTAATGAAATTCTCCTTATGGATTCAATCATCTGATGATGATGTTCAACGGCCAATTTTAAGTAAGGTTTGATTGACTGACTAATACTGTGTCCAGTAATTTTAAATAACTCCTTCCTTGGCCAAATTCGAAACAGCTGTTTCTCTTGCAGAATAATTGGTTATTTTAACTTTTTTAGTGTCAATTCCTATATCAGAGGCTGCTGATTTAAACCATAAAGATACAATGTTTTTACTAACTGAGTTATTGTACCATCCTTTCGAATTGGGTTGACTCCAGTATGGGTTTGGTGCCTGAATAAGATTTTTCCTTTTTCCATCAACTTTTTAAACAAACGAACTGGACATATTTGTGAATTATCGAAATTTGTAATAAACCATTTACTATACCACCTTGTGTGGTTTTAGAGAATATTGGGTTATATTCTATCCGACTAAACATCTTGTTCAAACTCTTCTTCCTCTTCCCCTTCTTCGTCTTCTTCCCCTTCCTTATCTTTTTCCCCTTCCTCATCTTCTTCCCCTTCTTCATCTTCTTCCCCTTCCTCTTCTTCCCCTTCTTCATCTTCTTCCTCGTCATTATTCTCGGACCCGTTGGAAATGTCTTTTTGTTTTGAGGAATTGCCATCGCAATGCTTGCATGCAAGTGAGCACTCCAATCCACCTCGGCGGCACCCGCACTTTGTGCCACAGTCGGTTTCACAAGAACAAAAATTTTGCTTAAAATTTCCTCGGGATCGGCTTCCTGGGTCATGGTAACAGGACTGAGCTCTTTATCCACCAATTCCCACCCCCATTTCAACGGATCTAAGGTCTCTTATTGATCTTGTGAACCACACCAAGCCTGTACTTGGAAATAGACACGCTTGATGTGCTCGGTTAACGCATTGGCAGTCGGACTTATGCGTGCAAGATCGACTTTTTTGAATTGGTGGATTCAGCATACATTTTTGCTTGATAGCTTTGGACGAACTCAATCGCAGGTTTATCGCTCATGCGCACATCTTTGGGTGCCTCGTAAAGAGCCAAAAAAATGGTCCAAAATCCAAAAAACTTAATCACTTTAGCACTATATTCACGTATAACGAAAAATCCACGTGGTATAAGAGTGCTGGACAGAACTCATACACCAAAAAAAGGTCCAAAATCCAAGAAATTTGATTACTGTAGCACTGTATTTACATACAAGAAAAAGCAACGTGGTCCTCAACGACAGATGTAATACTGATGCCACACAGAGGCCGACTGCGCGCAGGAATTGGACCCATATTTTTTCTCTTTATAGCTTTGGCGCCTTTTTCAAATCCAGTTTCCAGGCACAAAAGACTTCCAAAGCAATTGTTTTTATAATATGTGTAATATTTATTTATTTAATATTCAATCAAAATTTTTATTATTCATACCCCCGGGTAATTTTAATGCCAGAATTGAATTCGGCATCCCCGAAAACCCCCGAGTAACGAGTTTGGAGCGATTTTCATGCACGCTGTCATTTCTCCCCAATTTACGGGTAATTCTAATGCTAGAATCGAGGAGTTTGGCAGACCCGAAAACGATTTCCGAACGATTTTTCCGAGTTTTCAGTCGTTCCTATAATGGTGCAAGTAATGTAGCAATTGGAAAATGCATTTTCCGGCCCAGAAGGTATTTTTCAAAAAAGGGCTAAAATAGACGATATAGACTTTTTTCCAGGGACCTTCCTGAACACAATGCAGGAAACCGCATCTCAGTATCTGCTGTCCCTAAAAATTTCCGCTATACCGGTCGATTTTGATCTAAATGCCTGGACAATAAAGAGTAGAGTTCCACTTTGACCACACTTTCCTTTTAATCTTCAAAAATTTTCAGGTTCTTATTAAATGCGTAGTCATCCAGTATAGTAGCCAGCTGTACTACACTCATGAATATTATACAACTTTTCGTCACAAAATTCAACCAACTGTTTCCATAAACTTGATTTTGATTTTCTGGTGTTATTTGGTGTTATATTTTGAATTTTTTGACTAAGTACTTGTGACTTTCTTTACCAAATTCGCTATACACGTACAGACGTTTTAAAGTATTAATTATTAACCATTGTGACAGAGGTTAAACAAAAATGACAAATCAACATATGTCAAAAACAACAATACTCTGGCCAACTTGATAAGCAGTGAAATTAATTTAAAATGTCAGGTTGGATTAATAACTGTTTTCCAAATTATGGTGTGAAATTTTCTTACCGAATACCACGCAAGCTTAAATTATTCCTGGAAATTTTCTTTTGGACACGAATAGGAAAATAATATACAATTTTGAAAATATTCGTGCCCTCTAGAAAATTTTTGGAAATAATTTAGGCTCTTGTGATATTATAGGTGAAAATTTTAAAAAATATCTAAAACACCAATAAATAAATACACCCTGCTAACAAATTCTACAATATCATTAGCTAAACTACTCATAAAGCATTTGACAATTAATAACATAAAACTGTAAAATATCACTCTAATCTGCTTAGCATGACAAGTAAACAAAAATAGACTAGTAATAGATCTATTGTAGTTTCTTGTATTCCTAATGAGTAGGCTTTTATGATTAATTTTTATTTCAAAACAATCTAACTACTTATTCCTTTCTATGTAAATCGGAGTAACCCATTATTATAGAATTCTTCAGCCACATCAAGAAGCGAGAAACATATATCTTTATAAAACCTTTATCCTTTATTTCTTATATTTTAGTAGAATTGATATGACTTGTTTATCTTTTAACACAACAGTGAGGACGTATAGGTTGGAATACATTCAAGATTTTTCTGTCTAACAGTATTTTAACAAAATGCTTTTACAGGTCAATTTTTATTTTCAACTGCGCATTTTGCGTTACAATTATATATACTAATGACGTCACTACTTTTGTGTACATTTTCATTATATAGCGTCCTTCCTTATTGTGAATTAATTAACATTCATTACGTTCTACGTTTTCATTAACTTCCTCTATGTTAGTTTATTTTAAATTTATACTACTATTTTTTAAATTATAAAACTGGCAGCTCTTAGCGTAATTGCACATTCAATCACTAAATGTTAGCCCAGTAACATATACGGAAAATCATATCCCTAAAATGTCTTCCTAACAGTCATAAATTTTCATCGCCTCGCTTCACTGTACATGCGATGTCTCCTTCCTTACTACGAAAACACTGACGGCACTACATTCACAAAACCACATAAATTAGACTTTCTTACTTCTCGTTCTGCCTAATAAAACTCTGTGGGTACATTTCGCCGGTAGTTTGGTATATTATGTTTCTATTCAGATACCTTCAAACTTTCAGGGCAGGAAAGGAGAACGTTTTTATTAATATTGACCCCGGAACTCGCCTGAAGTTCTAATTATCGTATACGGAAAATGTTGGGGCTTTTCAAGAGATTAGGTGTGCTGGAACCAATATTATTGTACAAAATAAATGGAACATATATTTTTTTGGGAGACTGATCAGTTTATACTAGTATATTTAGCCCTACACTGCCTATTTTTTTTTATAAAAATAATATTAATAATAATAATCAAATTATATGTAGTAATCACTACACGCTATGACTGTCAGCTTTATTGTGCTTTTAAATTTAAATAATCTTTATTTATGTTTAAAAAAAATTCTCATTAATATAGAATCTTTGTTCTGGACGCATATAGGGGTATTTAAACGATTTAAGCGGCCAAAATTTTTTTGGGTCTATATCGATTCTAAACGATGTTAATAAATAAAATAAAGGTTTTAATGTTTAATTAACCTATATTTATTATTAAAAAATATAGAGATACAATTCTATCTAACATTATTTGTATAAATTTTCATCTTCGCTTTCTGAAGAATTACCAGCTTCAAACGGCTTTGCAGACATTAGTAAATTAATTGTTTCTGGCAAAAAAGAATTCAGTTTTCTTCTTTTAACGTTCCTCATGCTACTTAAGAGGGGGCTGAACTTAGAAGCAGGCGATTAAAAATATCTCTACCGAATTTTCACGCGAAGTCTTGGCGGTATGAGCGGAAATGCTTGTTACGCGCTTCCGTGACTTCTTCAGACAACTGCCTAATAGGCAACAATGTAGTTTTTATTATAACTGCACCATGAATAAGTATTTTGTGCATCGTTGTTGTTATTGGGTGCCAAGGGTACAACTGCACATATAAGCGAGCAACATCTAATGCGTATTTGTCATATTTTTGCGGATTAATTATATGTCCGCTCGAATTATTTCTAGTTTAACCTTTAATTTATAAATTAGGTCATCACTAATGCCCGTTATTTTGGAAGCCACTTTCAGGTGTTCAAAAAATCTTCGGCTCGTCTTTCCATCATTTGTGTTGCCAAAATTTGCCTTTGATATATCCACTAACAAACCAGTTTCATTTTGAAATCTTTTCTGGATTTCCAATTCTCTTTCTTTATCAATATTTTTTTGAGTTTCTGTTTTTCTCTTTCTGTTTTTTTTTTTCACTGGCAATTTATAAGCCAAGTGAAGAATGCTTTCAAAAAGACGAATCCTTGCATGTAGAACTAAAAGCCCAAACTCATAATTAATCTCGTTTTTAAAATCTAAATGGTAAAAGTCCTTGGAGGTTGCACCACATATGTAACATTGGCTTGTGGATTTTGTACCAGTGGCAGCATAACAGACCTTTCCGCCTACCATTGTCATAATGAACAAATGTTTAACCAAAAATTGTGTTCCATTTAAGTCCACCTCTGTTGCGTTTAGCGACAGCAAATTTTTTCAAAAAAGTTATTTCTTCTTCCGTTATGTCAATAGTCTCTTTAACGAATTGGAATTTTATAGGTCGACAATACCGTGTTGGGTTTGCCTATACAATTTTGTCATCTTTAACACAAACCAATCGTAGAGGAACGAAACAGATCTGAAATATGTTTGCGTCTAAGTCGGCATCATTTTAAAATATTTATTTGAACTGTGATTGCTGAGATCCATCGCAACCCTATTTAGCGTAAAGAAGGGTAAGATCAGGTAGCTAACACTTTTCGGAATGTTGAAGCCAAACTACTCCAACTAGAGCTTGCTTGATTGAACGACCTTGACGTATTGTTTATTGTATCACAATATAATGTTTCAGAAAAGTTGTAGATTCATTAAATTTTTCCAGAAAAATATGTTTTTCTCAAAATGTCAAATCCCACTAGTGGTGTAAGATCGAGTGCACTTCATTTTATTTCAAAAAACTACATTTTAACTCAAAAAACTAACTTTAATAAAAAAATATTAATCTTAGATACAAAAATCACATTGAAAAAAGGTATCTTCTTCGCCCGCTCCAAGACACATTCCACATTGGATCCATCCTTCTCCTTGTTTTGAGTTGGAAAAAGATTCGTTGCAGTATAAACAATGATCGTCGGATTTGTTATCTTCCCCATAAGAAGATTAATAAGTCGAGATCGAGGTCGAGGTTACAAGAATTTTTGAGGAGACTTTTTCTTTCTCTGGCCCTTGGTACGCTTGTGTTTTTGATTATTTAGTTTTGAAGACAACATCTTATTTGGTTTGTTTGAGTCATCAATAACCAATTTTCTTTTCTGTGACGTTATTTTTCTTTCATTTTCTTTATTCTTTTTCTCTAACTGAGATTCGAGTTCTATTTTGTATGGTGAAAAAATTAATATTGCACATTTCCCTTTTCGTTTATCTGTTCTTTCTGTTTTCTTTCTTTCAGCTACAGGTGGTGGCATTAGATGTTTGGGTGATATAGCAAAAACTATTGATGCTGCTGGCTTTTCATCCGTAAAAATTTTTGGGTCTAAACTTTTAGAACAGCAGGGTTCACTTGGAAATGGTTCGTCAATATTGGTTTGTTAATCTCAACTACCGTTTCACACGTTCTTTGTGCAGATTTTTCTTCTGTTGTTGAGTCCACTTGTAGAACAACATCTACTTCTGCCTGTAGGCGTGTGTCTCTTTCTTGAACAGCATTTTCCTCTACAGGAACAGGTCTATCTGTGGTTGTTGAAGAAGCAAACAGGGGATCAGGAAAAATATTTCGGTTTAAAGGATAAATTTCTGTTTGCTTGAATCCATTTACTGCCGTCCGCATTCCTGCTGCCTTAAGGAAAGCTGCACCATACAGTTTGGCTACTTGTTGAATTGTAACAGCTCTACAAGGATGTGTTGGAAGCCACTGGCGCACCTCCTGCTGATAATAGGTGCTCAATGGAGCCATGAAGGTCACGTCTAGCGGCTGGAGTCGATGAGAACAATGTGGTGGCAAGCACAACAACACAACATTGTTTTCTCTGGCCATGTTAATAAGTTCGAGACTCTTTGTGTGGGTAGTATGGCCGTCCAAAATCAGGAGGACTGGTTTTTCAGACATTGCTTTAGAAAACTCAATAAATCTTCGAAAACAATACACGAAAATATCTGTTTGCATCCATCCAGAAGGGTGATATTGAGCGAAGCTTCTTGGTGGTGCATCGTTAAGCAGCGCAGGATTTTCTCTCTTTCGAGGAAAACAAATATTGTTGGCATACAATTTCCGGCCGCATTCATGCAAGTAACCAAAACACCTTGTTGTGTGGTTATTTTCGTCTCATCGACGTTATAAAAATCACTTGGAGAAAAATTGTGTTGTTTATACAATTCCTTTAATAGATCGAAAAATGTATCAACAGCTTGCTTATTGAATCCCATGACCCTTGTTATTGTAGTGTTTTCTGGAAATCAAAGAGAAATATTGTTCTTATGCCTCCTTAAAAAACCATATAACCAGTCCTTCCGGCCATCTTGCTTTCTTTATTGAATTTGTGTTTTAAATTATTTTTAGTTGCAAGATTAAACGCTAATCTTCTAGTAAAAGTTAAACCAAACAATTTACTCATGATTTAGAAAATACTTTTTTATAGGTACAAGACTCGAAAAACTGACCCGAAATCGAGAGACCTTCGACCGCAGGCCAAACGACCGGCTTGCCGCTCAGTCCTCCATCTGTCTAGATTTGATGACTAGTCGTAGAAATCTTAAACTGTTTTTCCTAGCTTTTTCAGGGGACAACAACAAAATTAACTCAAAAAAATCTCGAAATTATGACAATTGCTGACTACAAATTTATTCATAATCTCTTAATAATGCCTCCTAGGCAAGAACTGAGGGCTGCTATATTTAGCCTATCTATAATTCAAAGCGACAACGCATAGGATAGGTGAAAGTATTACGAGCACTTAACTTGAAGAGTGTTTACAAACCATTAATTAAGTTGTTTAGAAATTATTTTTAGCTAAACTCTGTTATGTCTGTTCTCAGCATTTTGAGAATAATGCTTATTGCTTTGATTTAAAAAGGTATGTGATCAATCATGAAACAATTCTTTGTAGAAGGCAAATACCAAGAAAATTGAAGCATATACTTCAATAGATAGGAGCAGTATTAAAATTAAACAAAATAATATAAATAAACATTTAAGTAATGCTGTTTGCTTTTTGGAACATTTATATTATTATAATTGTTTTTATTTATTTCAGGTTTACTACCTCTGGCTCATCTACACAACTGAAAGTAGAGGTAGCCCACAGCCTCACTAAGAAAATAGCCTCTGCTAAATAGTTTATCTGGAACAGTTAGAAAATGACCTGTAATATTTAATTTTTTTATTTGGTACAGTAAACTGTGTAACAATTTCAGATAAATGGAAATTTCTTAGAAGCAAAAGTACCACTGATCCAGGTACATTGAATTTGTACGTAAGACATACAACGGAATCATAAAAGTAACAAAAACGTCTTTTAGAGCCACCATATTTCGACATCCTTTTTACAATATTAAGTCGACGGACTAAGAAAAGCATAGCTAGACAATCGTTTACTATGCAAGACTTTTGAAAATGTATACTGGCAATCTAATGTTAATACAATTAAAAAACTTGTGTATTATTTTAGAACGAGAATATCGGTGGAAGTAGTGGCAGTAATACACGTAGGGGTATTTTCTTGAATAGAAACTATTTAGCAAATTCTTACTGTGTAACAACTGAAAGAAGACTTATTTGTACAATACATGTTTTAATTAAAAATTTAACAACTATATATAACTAATTTAAAAAATATAATTTATACAAATTCAACGTGTCTGTCTCAGATAAATTTATAAGATAAAAACCAACTTTTATTCTTTTGCAGCTTGCCTGCAAGACTATTTTCCTCTGGTAATATTTTTTAGTTAGAGCTTCTTTAATCTTATATTTCTTTGTTTTTATTTTATATTTATATGTTTACAGTTAAAAAATGCAAAGTATATTAGATTGTTTAGCCTCAAAGATTTTTATTACACTACAAAAATAAAATGTTTGTTCATGGACATGGTACTGGCGAAAAATATTATAATATTAAAGTAAAATCATATGCACAGATTTAGAAATAATTTAAAACCACTCACCTCTATTTCAAGAGGCACTCGCAATTATAACTTGACTTTAAAGAAGTTTCTTGTATATTATTTAAAATAAATAAAGATTTCTTCTACGTTTAAGTCCTATATTTTATACAGTATTTTGTAAGTCAATCTTTTAATTTTTATCTATAAACATTGTTTCATATTTCTTATAATAAGACAGATACAGGATAGGATGCCTTTCTTGTATTAATTTCACTAATAAGCAGGTTTAATTCAATTACCTCATATAATTTCGAAGTAATGTTGATTTACTAAATGAATTATCTTGCGCTTACCCTTTAAATTGTTACCAACGCTTGCGATCCAATTAATTTTGTGACTTTGACTTTGAACATGCGTTATTTTCACTTTGTTTGAATGTCTACCTTTCTCTTTGATGATCTTTACATTATTTCACACTCATTATTTCGGTTATAGTTGTAGCGTTTGATCTTATTTGGTATTATAGCATGAACTGGATTTGTGATACACTTTGTTTCGAAAATCCATATATAGGTAAGTAGAAAATTGTTTGATTTATACAAGGTGTCAAAATCATTTAAGACCCCCAAGGTCCCATTATAAAGGTGAAATTAGAATAAATGACTATTTTTAAAGAAAATATGAATAAATTAATTAAGCAGTCTCTAAATATTGTTGAAAAAAATTTTGACCGCTTTTTTAAATATTTTTGGCAAATATGAACTGATTTCAAGTCACATTAAATTGTAGCTACGGGTTTTCCCATTGCGATGAACTTTGAATCATCGAAAAATATTAATTTTTTCCCGAGATATGGAACAATTCGTCCGCCGGCTTACACGTTAATTCATAGAAAGCGGAATTCCTGCAGGTAGGGCAGCAGCTGAAATGAGGGGACTTTTGAGTGCCATTATCTCGAAAATTATTGAAATTTTGAAGAAATTGATAAAAGCCATTTTTGTAGACAATGAGCTGATCTTCGTTTTTTGTCTGAACAAAAATTTTCTAATTGGCATATTCAGTCAGATATTAGCGGGAAACCCATTTTCCAGGTTTTAGGGGTCCATTTTCAACCCCTTCCGGTACCAAGAACGCGTTAAGGATTTTCTCGTTTAAAAACACCTGCGATCACCTACAAATTGCGCTATGTGAGAACTCATCAGCAAATTTTCTACAGGTTTGACCCTTCAGTTACTGGACTAAAATGCATCTTTTTAATTCTGGTATATTTTTCTAATACAGCATCTATTTTCAAATCTAGGTTCCTATGAATATGTAGCAAT